CAATGTGGGGTCATATTGACCCCAAATACCAGATTAGTAAAAAATAAATAAATAAATAACATACCTTCAGCACAACCGAATCAAGCTCAGTTTTTTTTTATGTGAATATAGATAGAAAATGTAGAAAAGTCACAAAATCGTATTCCGCTGAGATGAAGGGAACCATTATTTGGTTGTAAAAAAAAAATAGTTTTCCACAATATTCCTTTGACATTAGTTTTTGAAGAAAGAAATCATTGGTATCAAAAGTGGTGAGCTAATGGGATTGTGTGCAATCCAGACTTTAAACTGAACGTCAACTTCTGCAGGAAACAAGCGGAAAGTGCGTCTCTATCAGTTCCTCCTGGACCTCCTGCAGGACGGAGACATGCGGGACTGCATCTGGTGGGTGGACCGAGAGAGAGGCGTCTTTCAGTTCTCCTCCAAACACAAGGAGACACTCGCCGGCCGCTGGGGCCAGCAGAAGGGCAACCGCAAGAGAATGACCTACCAGAAGATGGCCAGGGCCCTGCGCAACTACAGCAAGACCGGCGAGGTCAAAAAGGTCAAGAAGAAGCTCACGTACCAGTTCAGCAGCGAGGTGCTGAGGAGGATGACTACGGACAGGAGGCAGTATCATCACTGACATTTCCTTTAGATCCAGTGTCTCTTAATATTCACAGATTCTCTCCTGCCATTGCTCTGCAGCAAAAAATATTATCTCAGGGATATGTAATATGTATAGTTAAAATAGGGATGTAATATCTGAGTAGCTGACAAATGGACATGGACAAAAGACAGTTTTAAGGTTAAAGTGTCTTTATTCGTAAAAGAGTACATGCTTTCATGTTTTGATGCTGTAACTGGTCAGTTTTATTTTATTTTTTCACTTTTAAATCGGCTTGATTTCACTATTGTTACATTTCAGTTGTCCAGTGGTGTGACAAATTAACACCAGTTAATATAGTTATGAAAACGGCATGCATAATAATAATACAATTTTAATAATATAATTCTTATAATAATGTTACACATCTAGTTACTACACGGGACATTTCAACGTGTTCAGCTATTTTGACACATTTTGACTTCCATACGCTTCATCCACACAAATAAGTAAGCTTTAACTTATTTTATGCTTATTAATGTGAAAAATCGGTCTTTATATTATGTGGTGTCACATCGCTGAATAAACGAACCTGGAAGTCCGCCTTGAAAATAGCTTATTTACTTTTGGTTGGGTTCGTAATTACACTGTAAAAAAAATTCCATAAAATTTACAGTTCAACTGTGGTTGCCGGAATTTTACCGTAAAAAATACGGTTTTAACTTAAATTTACAGTTAAATACCGTAATTTCATTAACTGATGTAATGTTACTATACCAACCATTAAATTAAATTCAGTCATTTTTAAGAGATTCAAGACTCAAGGCATATAATTCACGAGAAGCACGTTTGAAAATATATTTAAAACGTTTGAATAAATTTTACTGACCCCACACTTTTGAGCGGTCCAAAGACAGCCATTCAAAAAGTTTATATATGAATAGATTATTATTATTATTATAGCCATCATTTTGGTAGACGTCAGAAAAACAGTTAATGAAGTGAAAGGTGGAAAAGATTTTAAGGGCCTTATAAAAATTCTGCTAGCTTTTGTCTATTTACACGTTAATTACATACTTAAAAATATTAATTAGACAAGTACAGCATGGGACAAGCATGCAAACTGGTTAATAACTTACATAACTTGCATGTGTTTTTGTTTATGCAAGTATACAAACTTGTCAGATTTCTACTACGAATTATGCTTTAAATTACTTTATTTGAAAAAAAAAAAAAAACTAATGGCAGACCATGATATGAATAAGACAATCCAAAAAGCTACTTTTCTAGTAATCACAAGAATGAATGTCTCATCTACTGATGTTGCTCTATGCTGCCACCTAGGGGACCATCACAACATGCCTCGCATACATAACAATTGATGATTCTCAGAACTTGTGATTTCATTGCTCTTTAGGGCTTTTCCAAAGTTATTTTCATCATTCAAAACATTGTTTCAATTGTTATCTTGAAGGATTTGGTTTCGGTTTTTAACAGGGAAATAAACGGTGGCTGATAAAAAAAAAAGAAATAAGAGCAAAACAGAAACCAGAGAAATGATAGTACTGTCTTTTGATTTGTGTATGCAGAGTTAAATAGAAGCTGAAGTATGCAATTTACAGGACAAAGCTAATAAAGCATCAGAAAGTACACATCACAGACTGCACAGAAAATGTGTGCAACTTTTGTCAAATTTATTATCACTTTTATTTTTGTTCAGTTCTTAAGTTAACAGGAAAACGGTAAGTTGTCTAAAAACAGTAAAACTTAAAAAAAAAACTAGATGTACGTAACAGAGGTTTGTGCTGTAGAATTGAGCATCATGGTTAAAACAGAGGCATAAGAAAATATCACATGTGCGGTATCAGTGTGTCCCGAAAAAAAAAAAAAAAAAAAAAGGACATTAGGTGTTTTATGCACCAGAAATACTAAAATTCAACATAATCCGTTTACTTCCCTTACAATGTTCACACACCGGCAACAAGCAACAAACCACCCACTAACGTCTTCATAAGTATAGAATAATTATCTTTAGACAGATACAAATATCATCAATCACCAGAGACTGAAAATAAGATATATTAACGCTTTCATATCTGCATTAGGTTATTAAATGCACCATATTTAATGTAATACACATTCCAACTGTTGTTCAACGTGCCGTCATTTAAAAATCTACAAACACAGCTCTCGGTTTAGGTCCAGCTGGAAGGACTCCATAGGACTCCACTCAGCAGCTTCACGTTCAGTTGTTGGCGGCGTCGGCGTGTCTGGGCCAGTTGTCTTCCTCAGAGGCCGAGTCAAACTCTTCCTCGGTTTCTTTGGGCGGAGCTCTGGATCACAAACACACACAAAATCAAAGTTTATTTTGCACATTCTTAGTTGGTGCTCCAGGTTCACAAACCGACTAGGGAGCCACTGGTCCCTAAAACAAAACCTTTAAGGACAGAATCACTTCTTATAGGTTGCTCAGAAGCATGTTCATGCTTCAGTTTTAAGAATGCATGTTGAGGATCTATTGAAGTGGCTGAAGATTTCAAAAGAGATCTGAAAGGATTGGACTGATTCATTAAAGAACCATCTCCAAAAC